GTGTTAGGCGCCATGTTGATGGCATGGCGAAGATCAGTTAGGGGTATTTGCGCACCCTAATGGCATGTTGGACGATGACAGGACCCGGTTACCTTTCTAGCTGTTTCAAGTGCACAATCAGTTGGGTATTTTCTCTTTCAGGCACAAGGGGAGGAGCGGCGTTAGGGCACGTGCGATGGGGCGACGTCGAGAGGGGCAGCATTTTTTTTTAAGAAAAGGGGGAAGGCGCTCAAGGCGCCAAACTTTCATTCCAATCAGGACTCAAGTAAATAGTACAGTTCGAATTACAATTCCTGAGCAGCATTAGGTCGCGTGCAGTGAGGGCGACGTCAGTCCCTCTTGTTACCATGACCGCGAGCGATCATGATGCAACAACATGATCTAGGGTCTTGGACAAGAAAGATAACAAATTCAGCACATATAACAGAATTTTCAATGTTGTGTTTGATACCTACTTGTGTGTGTAGATCATCTGGCATGTGAGAAGGGTGTGTGGCCTTGTGCTATGAGCTGAGGCTCAACAGAGGAAAGGAATCTCCCAAACAAACCCAGTAGAGCAGTTTCAACAGATACTATTATGTTTCACATCTCTTCCAATATCTGTACCAATTACTACAAACCAGATAGATGTTGAGTTACTGTAGAACAACAACTGAACTGGGGAACATTTCTTGGGTAAAAAAAACTGGGGGCATCAGACGCCGCGCAGTAGCACAGCGAGCAATGAATTACAGTGATATATGACCTCTAACAACACAAGAAATCGACAGCGGGTTCGACAAAACTAGGGGCTGAGGGTAGCTAGAGAGGTAGTACATGAGAAACAAGGCGTAAACAAGCTGCTTCTGCGGTGGAGGTCCTTAGACTTGCGCCGTGCCTTGAGTGAACTTGGGGTCCTCGCACCTGTACTTGCCGTCGGGGCCGATGCCGAAGCCCTTGGGATCGGCAAACACGTTCTCCAGCAGCTGGCTCCGTGGGGGCAGCGGGCTCGCGTCGGCAAACTCCACAGCCTCTTCGACGACGTCGTCAATCTTCTTCTCGATGCTCTTCAGCTCCGCTTCAGACGCGAGGTTCTGCTCGATGATGTACTTCTTCAAGGATGTGATGGGGTCCCTTGCAGCGTAGTGAGATTTCTCATCTGTGCACGAGGTCATCAGATGATTTAGTCAGAGCACAAACATTAGCAAAGAAAAGAGGACGTATGTGCAGCCTGACAATGCAGGAGCTGATAATCAAGTATGCCGTCAGAAGTAATACAATCCAGTAGAGAAGAGAGTACAGATGCAGACATACACTGAAATGCAGAGTACAAAATAGTCACAAATCAAGATTAAAAGAGTGGTTGTTTCCATGTTAGATACATAGACCATGAAAAATATAGTAATCAGGTTGAAGACGAAAACAAGTATATGGTCTAGGTCATGTAAGATCCAAACTTAGCGAACTAATTCATATTTCCACCTTTATGACCGAAAATCTATCTGAAACAGTTATGAACAGAGCAAACGTGATTTAAGAATAACTGCATAAAAAGGGAAACATCCTGGAACAAAATATTATGATTGGTTGTATGTAACTGTAAAGTTGTTAATGTTTACAAACTAGATATGGAAACACGAGGTGGGTCAATTTAAGTACTAATATAAGATCCTATGAATCAACAACCGGTAATACCTAGTATCAGGTTCATTAAAGCACATCCCATAAGCAAAAGAAACGGAATGGCATTTGCTTATTACTAGAAGGTTGACATATGAGGATTTTGCTGTCTGTATTCAGGTTTATTTAAAGAAAACAAGTGGTGCTGAATACTCTATGCAGTTACTATGAGACAATCTAGTCATACCTATCAGGATGGTGACATGTCAGATAAGATGACTGGGATGATGATAAGAACAAAGGAAATATTTCGCTCAATATTTCAATTGGCACCATAAAGTTTACTTCCTATGTAGCTCTCATGTTTATGATGCCATCAAACAGGATGGCACAACTTGCATGAGCAATATTGTATGTGGTGTTGTACTCAAGAAATTTAGTACTACTAGTATATATAGTACTTCAGTTCAGTCACTAGGCAACCAATCTAAACAGATCCGTAAACTTCATGAATAAAATGGTTTTCTTGCATTTTCTATTTCCGCAGTTAGCCTAGGCACCAGCAGTCAATCAGTCATTTCATGCCAGCAGTGCCACTACTTAGAATAAAAGTGAAGTAAAAATTAACCAGAAAGGTAATCCTTACCAGGCCTCCTGAGTTCATCTGGATCAGCAAGAGAGTGGCCTCTGAACCGGTAAGTTTCACACTCCACTAGAGTTGGTCCTTCACCTCTCCTTGCCCTGTCAATTGCCTCCTTAGCCACCTCCCTGACCTTCAGGACGTCCATCCCATCGACGTGTACCCCAGGCATTCCGAATGCCGGGCCCTTCTTCCAGATCTCGGGATCTGAAGTAGACCTCAGGTGCGACATCCCGATTGCCCATAGGTTGTTCTCCACAACAAAAATAATCGGAAGCTTCCACAGCTGAGCCATGTTCAGGCACTCAAAGAACTGGCCGTTGTTACAGGTACCGTCCCCAAAGAATGCAAGCGTGACATCAAGCCCGTCAGGGCTAGACTGCTTGAGCACCTCATGGCGGTACTTAGCGGCAAAGGCGGCGCCAGTGGCGACAGGGATGCCCTCTCCAATGAAGGCAAAACCTCCAAGGAGGTTGTGGGGTTCAGAGAACATGTGCATGGAACCACCCTGTCCGCGGCAGCAGCCAGTGGCCTTGCCAAAGAGCTCGGCCATGACTGCACGGGCCGGGACACCCTTGGACAGCGCGTGGACGTGGTCACGGTACGTGCTGACGACACAGTCGGGTTGGTTCAGCTGCTTGATGAAGCCGGTGGAGACGGCCTCCTGCCCGTTGTAAAGATGGACGAAACCAAACATCTTGCCACGGTAGTACATTTGTGCGCACATGTCCTCGAAGTTACGGCCAAGGATCATGTCCTCGTACAGCTCCAATGCCTCTTCGCGTGTGACAGCCTGCATATACAGTGAGACACTTTGAATTAGGAAAACAGAGAGCCTGGACACTGAAAATTTCAAAGATTTAACAATTGAGAACCAAAGGTACAATGCCTCTTCCCGGGTCACTGCCTGCATAAAGCGGTACACTTCAAATTAAGGAAACAGAGAAGCAGAACATGAAAAAGTCTCCAAGATTTAAGAATTGATAACCTCAGGTTCTGAACTTTTCATATACAAGCATCACTGGCTCACTGCAGTTACCACACTGGAAGCTAGATCTAAGAACTAAACAGTACTCCAATTCTGAAATTATATGATACAGTACATTTTAATTTGCTAACGAGTACCAGTTTTTAACTAAAAACAAGGTTGACATGAGAGGATCAGTAGACAGAGAACTTTTGCAGCACTTGCAAATCCTAAAGTGAACTTTTCAAGCGTGGGATGTGCTCAGATTACAAGAGAATTCTCAATACAAGATTCAGTAGGCTACTGACTAGCATCTGGGTAGTCGAATTACTTACTGTCCAACCTTTGGGGATGAAAATTATGCGAGCTAATCTGAACCAATCTATCTAGAACTAAGTCATGCAGTAAGTAAATCTAGAACACTCGACGAATCTAAAGACGGCAGCTACCGGGATCCAATCGTAAAGCAGTAAACGCGGCCCAAGCCAAGATCCAATTTTTACACTCGGGGCTGCAAGATCGCTTTTTTACACTCGCTCTGGGGAGGTGAATAGATGAGAGATGCGAATTCTCACCGGATACGCGGCGGCGGCGGGCGCGGCCTTGAGCACGTCGGAGGAGACGGCCATCACGGAGCCGAGGCGGCGCGCGGGCCCGCGGCGGAGCGGGCGCACGGCGAACGCGGACGGCGCGGGGGAGGGCCGCGCCCTGTCGCCGCCGGATCTCGCGGCCACCGGCGCCAAGAACTTGGCGGCGGTGAAGGACGCGGCCGCCATCTCCTCTGTCTCGACGATCTGCTGCCGGCTGTCCCCTGCCTGGTTCCGCTCTGCCCGTGTGCTTGGCGCAATGCGGCGGAATGGGGGAGGAGAGCTCGGGGCGGGGGCGTGTATAAAGAGAGGTGGGGATGGGAGGGGAGAAGAGGAGGGGCGGAGAGCACGAGGAAGACGGATGGAGAGAGGGTTTGGGGGGCTTGGGAGGGTCCGCCTAGGCCACGAGCCCACGATGCGATGCAACGCTGGCGGCGGTGAGTGACAGATTGATTGATTTTCTTGTTCTTCCAAGTGTCCAACCCCAACTACACCACCAAGAAAACAGAGCCCAATGGTCGTCTCTAGGAGCAAAATTCTTGTTGCACCAAGCAACCAACAAGCAAGAGATTTTATATAGTGTACATGCAAAATACAGCAAGAGATTTATAATTGATATGCTTGGTTTTATGCGGTTTCTACATATTTGTCCTACGTTATGGTGGGGCCTTTACTTGTCGACATTTACCATGTCTTGAAGGCAGGAATTTTGCGTAGACAAGAAGTCGACATCATAGGTTCCGAATGTGTTGGACTGTTCTTTTCTCACTCCAGCTGGTATGATGCATCTCTTATGCTATTGGAACTTCTTACCACGATTTGGTGTGATGGCAAACTAAATAGGGTGTTACCATGTTTCGAAAACTACCTCGGCATGCAATGACCGAGGCTAATTTGGGAGGCGTCTAAATAGTTCAGCTCACGACATAGATGGGGACCACAGCCATACTGTGAAGTCACAAAGATGGTATCAAAGTTCTCACACACCTGGTGTCTTTTGATGGCTCGCTGGAGAGCGAATGAGGAGAACAAGAAGTTTGATTTATAACTGGATTTTATGAAGCCACGACTTTCAATGAATTTGTGTCTATGTACCTTTGGAGGTTTTTATGAGAAATCATAACTTTTATGATAATGATACGCACCAGACTCATAGTCAAACCTCAGCCCGTCGGATATCAATATTGAGAGGATGGGTACTTACGACATAGATATGCTGACTTGAAATTGAATCAAATTTAGTATACAATTCCAAAAGGGTGATTCTCCTGGGCTTGTCATCCAAATGATATAAAACTTTTATCAAATAGTCACCAGGATATTTATGATTTGCTTAGAATTGTTTTGAGTTTTGTTGAAAAATTCAGTCGAATTTGCAGAGAACCTCAAGAGCTAAATCATCTCCATCTCACTACTACACAAAAAGAGCTATATCATACAAAGCTTTCAAGGTGTGCCAACAAGGTCCATCATGAAAAAAAAACCATATGAGGCGGATTATCTTAGACCTCATTCTCGGATAGCTCAGAGTGAAGCCTATATTGGCAAGGTAGGTATTCTAGGGCACACCGGAAAGTAGACCCGTCATAGAAACTATCTTAGGCAGTGCTATAGTATGGTCCTCTCGCATAGGGATGTATTTGTGACGTTTTTTCCGGGGCTGCAGTAACCTATATCCCATCTCGGAAAGTTTTTTGGGCCTTGTATAAGCCCGGATGCTAGACCCCGATCTGACCGTAGCCTCCCCCCCCCCCTCTCTGTCGCTCGCTTTGCAGGCCAAAGTGTTGCAGCTACATCGCTTGTGAACCAACTTTCTCTTTCCCCACAAAGCCTCACTAGGCGCCTCTCCTCCCCCCTCTCCTTCCCCAGTGGCACCGAAGGTGTGATAGTGCATCTCCAATACCTTCCACGATAGTGCCACATGTAGATCGGGCCACCCTACGACCCTCCGACAGCGGCATTGTGCGCCCAGATCCGGCTTCGGCGGTCCCCCTGTTCACCTCGATCCCCGATGGCGCCACATGTGGATCAGATAAGGACGAAGAAATGTGTTAGTTATCGCACATGTCAGACTCTAAAAAACACATGCTAGATAGGGTCATCATATAAAAAAGGATATCGGATAATAAAGGAATCTGAAAACCGGTTCAACTGAAAAAGTCGCCTTGGCAAAAGCACACAAATTATATCGCGAGAGCTATGTCTTGCTTCACGCGAAAGTAGCTCCCGACTCGCCTGAAGCGCCCCAACAAGCGCACGCGTATGGACCGACCAAGTGGGCGTGCTCATTGTCATTCATTGACTTCCTTTCTAAGGTTTTTATCTTTTTTTGGATCAGTCTTGTTCATTGATGCGTGTCCAGTCGTGTTCATTCCCTGCTAGTCGTCCATTTAGTCTTGCTTGCCGATGCTTTTGTTCGTTTTTTTTGTTTTCTTTTTTTCCTCAGTTTCCTTCGTTATACTTCAGTTTTTTTTCTTCACAGGATTCTTTGTTTTTTTGTTTTTCATTTTCCTTTTCGCCGCCATCTTCATTTTATTCCGATTTTTACTGGTTTTCTTTCTTTCTTTTCTTTTGTTTTTGTTCCTTTCTCTATTTTTTCTTTTCTTTCTTTCTTTTCCTTTTTTGTTTCTTTTCTATCTTTCATCAATTTACATCATTTTCTTCAGTTTTTTTTGTTTTTCTTGTTTCCTCATGGGTTTTGACGTTTTTTTTCTTCTTTCTTTTTCTTCATTTCTAAGGTGTTTTTTGTTTCTTTCTTCCCTTTCTTTGATTCTCACCGCTTTTCTTTTCAATTTATTTTCTTATTCAACACATGTCTACACTTTTCATAAACTTTTGTACATTTTACATATACATCAAGAATATTTTTTATATATGTTAATATTTTTCAAATTCATGATTATCATTTTTATAAATCTTATGTTTGATAACTATATTTTTCATACAAATTTTATATTTTTGATATATTAAGAACATTTTTTAATACGTGTTTAGTATTCGTGAAATATGTGAATAATATTTTTATACATGACAATTTTTTTTTCAATTTTTTGTTTTTATATTCAGAAGTTTTTATACACTGTCTATATTTTTCATATATGCCAGGAATATTTTTTGCACACGTTTAACATTTTTTAGATAGTTTATTAACAATTTTCCAAATTTTTGTGTTTGTTGACTACTTTTTTCATACAGACTTTACATTTTCACTATATACCAGGAACATTTTTTTGTATGAACCCAACCTGTGGTTGGTGGTTAGCAGGACAGTGGTATCCTTTTTTTTGCGGGGAGCAAGACAGTGGTATCCTCGGCCCACTAGAGTTCAAGTTCTAGACTTAACACTAATGCTCGCATTTTCCTGTATTTATTTCAGGGCTTCCGATGTACTGTGTTAAAAAAGAATATTTTTATACATAGTTAACAGTTTTTAAATATGTAATTAAAATTTTCACTTTCAACATTTTTAAAATTTATTTTTTCTGTTAAATTTTTAATAAATTTTCTACATTTTTATTAATCAGAACATTTGTTATACACATTTAACATTTTTGAAATAGATGATTAACATTTTTTAAATTTTTATCTTTGAAGAGTACTCTTTTTTGATACATATTGTACATTTTCCGTATATATCATGAACATTTTCCGTATATATATCATGTTCTGCACTTGTTTTATAGACAATGTATATTTTTTGTATGCATGGGAAACATTTAACATGCAAATGGTAGATTAACATTTTTCAAATATTTTATGTAGAATGTTATTTGTGATATATATATATGTATATATATATATATTTGAAATTATAAAAAAGTATAAAAAGGAAAAAAAGAATATGAAAATAAACACATGGAAAAAAAAGAAAAAAAACAAGGTTGCGTCCTCCCGCGTGCTAGGCCAGCCCTGTCTCGCGCTCCCTCTAGCAAGGCTGCCTTACGTCTTGCGTCAAGCGAGACATAGGCGCGCCCAAATTGTAGGGCAATGTGTTGGCATGTCCCTTCTTTTTAGTAAGTGTTGTCATGAGTTGGGACAAATGTTGTCACACGTAAATGCAATCAACACAGGGAACAAATTATCGAGTCCTTTAACATTGAAACAAACAACATGATCTGTTAACATAAAAATATATTTACGAGTTAATAATCACTCGTGAAATAAAAGACACAACTCCCGCCCATATAATGAGCCTCTCGCAGACAAAAATCTATGTTTTTTTTCTTTTGAGACAAAGACAAAAATCTATGTGTTGGAAAGTACTCCCTCCGTATCAAAATAAAAGACGTTTTTGTAGGCTAGGTAGTACACAAAAAAATAATAATCAAGGAGCCCATTCAGCTAACTAGTGCTTCAGAGAGGGACAAGGGTCTCGAAGCAATTGAGCCCATCCAGCTCCAGGGCGAACCGTGGCTTCAGTTGCTGCTGCCGTTGCTTGCCAGCAATCTTGACAGCAGAATCATTGTTCATCTCCTTCTTCTCCGCCTGTCTTCTGCTGGCATCAGATTGCTTCTGCATTTGCGGTACGGGGCTCGCCATGAACTGCAGAAAACAAATATAGAGAGCAGAAAAAAAACATAAGAACACAAATGTATAGAACTTAACAAACATGAATTATTCCGGTCAAAAAACAAACATGAATTACCATGAAGCTTATGAGCTGCATGTACCTTGTTGGTGCTGAAGAATTGGCTGGCGATCTGCGCAGACAGGATGGCTTCCATGGAACCCATTAGCTAATAGGTAGAAGCTGGTGATGAACTAACTAATCACCACTTAAACTAGCTTAGTGTTTCTTATCTGAACTTCACTGCGTGCTCTGTTGCTGCATGCAGATTCGATCATGTCTATATATATAGCAACCAACCAGTGCAGAACATTGTCGGGTTCGGTCGAGTTCTGGTTGTTTCAATGGCTTGAGATTCATGGGGATATGGCTGGTTTATCTCTAGCTAGCAAGAGAGAGCCTCAATTAGTTGGTGCCATTGGCTCCACGTAGCTCACCCACCGGAGTGTTTCTAGCACTATGTGTGTACATCATCTTATCCACACTGCAACACATCTATGGGTTGTGCACTTTTTGCGCTTTTTCTCTCATGATGGATGACATATAGTGACAGGCGAGGAAATTTGGATGTATAGGAACAAATATCTGGGTCGTGTGATATTTTGCTAAATTATCACCAAATGGCTACATCATGTCAGATATTTTTTTGGATAACTACAATATGTCAGCATGAATGTTTTCTGCAAGTTCCAAAAGTGGTGGTTTTTGGTCCCCGCAAAAATAAATAAAAATAAGTTTTTTAGGCAAAAATGAATAAAAATAAGTTTTTTAGTGGTAAACCCGACTTTTATTGCTTATTGTTTCGGTTTACAGGAAAACAAAGGGATCATGGGGTACTCCCAGCCACACATGGCGCCCTTGAACTAAAGAAGTAGAAAACTTTGCTAAATTATGAGCATCTATATTCCCTTTTCGACCTTCAAAGATGAAGTCGCATCGAACAAAAAGTCTCGCCTGAGCTTGGATCTCCTTGATGATATTGTTGTATCTTCCTTCTGATCCCATCTTGATTTCCTCCACCACGGTCTTGCAGTCACACGCCACAACAATGTGGTCTGCATATAGATCTTGAGCCAGGGCAAGAGCCTCGCGGCAAGCTAAAGCTTCCAGCATTAGTGGGTCATTTATCTCATCAAAAACCATTGCTGAAGATCCAAGGAAAAATCCCTCATGGTTCTTTCCGATGGTAGCAGCTGCCCCTCTTCTACCGTTTCTTGAAACTCCCCCATCAACTTGAATTTTAATAGTTCCAACTTCAGGCGCCCTCCATCCTTGTCCAGCAGCAGGTCTCGTACCTACTTGTTGTTCATCATTTGGTGTTGCCCGCCCGGCCTGGAGGATTGCCAGTTCTGCAATAAAGTTTGTAATGAAGGAAAGAGTCGCGTGTGGGCTTTGCAGCTCACCCTCATGGATAGCCCTTCGCCTTGCCCACCATATTGCCCACACGGTCACCACCATCGTAACCAGACTGTCTCGAGGTAGATGATCGAAGGCTGAGAACAACCACACCCTGGCATTCGGCTCTGCCGACGACTGTAGGAAGTCCAGTATATTTCCATCTACCAGGGCCCAAACACACCTTGCGACTGAACATTCAAACAGAGAATGTCGCCATGAATCTCTCATCCCGCAAAGCTGGCACTTGTCATCATCAGCCATTTTTCTAGCATGCCTTACATCCTCTGTTGGGATTGATAGTTTGGACAACCTCCACATGAAATGACGATTTTTTCCCGGAACTTGAACAGACCACAAAGTCTCCCATGATTTTGCTTCCGCTTCCATATCAGAGGAACCCGATCTTCCTTCTAACCAGTCCTCCCTTCTGCGCTTTGTGTCAACGAGCATTCGGTATGCAGATCTTACCGAAAAAGTCCGTTTCTTTCAAAGTTCCAAGCCCAGTGGTCGTCCATCTGCCTGGTACAAACCGGAATGGCCAAGATAGCCATTGTGTCTGCCGCAATGAAATTTGCATCCAATGCTTCTCTATTCCACGCTGCATTATGTGCATCAATCAACTCACTAACAAAAAGAGGAGGATTGGCTGACGACAAGCAAAAGGTCTCATCGAAGCTATCCTTGGTATCCAGTTATCCATCCAGATTCTTGTTGTTGTACCATCTCCAATACTCCTGATGATCCCTTGCTTAAGAACATCTCTCCCCTCCAAAATCGCTCGCCATACCTGTGATGGCGGGTTACCAAGTTCAGCTTCCAAGATTGTATTTTGAGGATAGTATACTGCCTTCAAAATTTTCGCACACAAAGTCGCTGGTTGCTACATGAGTCTCCAGGATTGTCTTGCCAGAAGAGCTAGGTTGAAAAGCTCGAAATCACGAAACCCTAACCCTCCCATAAATTTTGGTTGAGTCATGGCCTTCCAGGAAACCCAAGTTGGTTTCCTTTTTCCCTCTTTGCTGCCCCACCAAAACTGTCTTATAAGCTTGTTTAAATGTTCACAAAGCCCCCTTGGTAATTTGAAGCATGACATTGAGAAAACTGGCACTGCTTGTGCCACTGATTTCACCAAAACTTCCTTCCCTTGTGATGATAAACACTTTTCCATCCACCCTTTCACCTTGCTCCATAGTCTGTCTTTCAGATACTTAAAAGTCCCATTCTTTGAAGTACCTATATCAGAAGGCATCCCTAGGTACTTTTCGTTCAACGATTCATTAGGGACATTAAGGATGTTTTTAATCTCATCTTTGATAGTAGTTGGGCACCCCTTACTAAAAAAGATAGAAGACTTTGAATTGTTAATTCTCTGACCTGAAGCCTGTCAATAGCTCTCCAACAGGTTTGACACCTCGTTCGCCCCTCCTCCAGTTGCTTTAAAGAACAGCAGGCTATCATCCGTGAACAACAAGTGATTAACAGGTGGTGCCGAGGGCGCCACTTGTATCCCACCCAGTTGAGATGACTCACTTAAATTTTTCAATAGGCCTCGAAAGCCCTCCGCTGCCAATAAGAACAGGTAAGGGGAGATAGGATCTCCCTGATGAATACCTCTGCTAGGTCTGAACTCTTCCAACTTCCTTCCATTGAATAAAACCGAATATGAAACTATTGATACCATGTTCATAACAATGTCAACCCATCTCTGAGAAAAGCCCACTTTCAACATTATTGCTCTTAAATAATCCCATTCCAATCTATCATATGCTTTCATCATATCCAATTTAAGAGCGCAGTGTCTGTGTTTGATTGCTTTGTTACGCTTCATAAAATGCAGACACTCATAGGCTACTATGATATTATCAGTGATCAAACATCCTGGTACAAAGGCCGACTGTTCTGCTGAGATTATCTCGGGGAGCACAGCCTTCAGTCGGTTGGCGATAACCTTGGAAGCTATCTTATAGAGTACATTGCATAAACTTATCGGTCGGAACTGTGACAAAAGGGAAGGGTTCTTTACCTTCGGTATCAAGACCAGATAAGTTTGATTGATGCCCTCTGCACTCTCTTTCCCTTCCGCGATCGCTAGGACGGCCCTGGTTACTTCTTCCCCACACACCCGCCAATGTTTTTGGAAAAAATGCGCCGGAAAACCGTCAGGACCTGGCGCTTTTGTAGGAAACATTTGATAAAGCGATGTTTTGACCTCCTTTTCTGTTTACACCGCATCCAATTGTGCCCGCATATCATTCGTGACCTTCACCGGAACCGAGTCCAACACTTCTTGCATATTGTTACACCCCTCGGAGGTATAGAGATCCTTGTAAAACTCGGTTGTCATCACTTCCAGCTCCTCCACATCTTCCGTTACCTGTCCATCCGACCTGGTCAGGGCCGAGATTTTGTTCTTCCTCCTCCTCATTGAAGCCCTTTGCTGGAAATATTTCGTGTTACTATCTCCATACGTGAGCCAATCAACCCGCGAGCGCTGTCTACTTAGGATCTCTTCCCTGTGGTATAGCTCGACGAGCCTATCAGCTACCTTGATTTCAAGATGGCTTGGTTCAGAACGTGCATGGACGTTTTTTAGCGTCTCCAGTTCTCTGGTAAGTTGTTTGATCTCTCGCTTAACATTGCCAAAAGTATGTCTATCCCAGTTGTACAAATTTTCGCTGAGATCCGCCAACTTGTCCCTTACTTCAACTGCCGAAAACCCCTTCGGCTTCCCTTTCCACATTGTTTCTATAAAAGGGTATAGCTCTGGGTGTCGCTCCCACATAACTTCATAGTTGAAGCTCTTTGCTTTCCTCCTAGTATCTTCTTCATCTGTAAGTTTTAGAATGATAGGCCCGTGATCTGAGCTATTGGGGAACGTTGCAGAAAATAAAAAAAATTCTACGGTTTCACCAAGATCTATCTATGAGTTCATCTAGCAACGAGTGATCGGATTGTATCTACATACCTTTGTAGATCGCGAGCGGAAGCGTTCAAGAGAACGGGTTGAGGGGGTCGTACTCGTCGTGATCCAAATCACCGGAGATCCTAGCGCCGAACGGATGGCAGCTCCGCGTTCAACACATGTACGGTCAGCGTGACGTCTCCTCCTTCTTGATCCAGCAAGGGGGAAGGAGAGGTTGATGAAGATCCAGCAGCACGACGGCGTGGTGGTGGATGCAGCAGTCACCGCAGCAGGGCTTCGCCGAGCTTCTGCGAGAGGGAGAGGTGTAGCAGGGGAGAGGGAGGCGCCAAGACTTGAGGTGCGGCTGCCCTCCCTCCCCCCTTTATATAGGCCCCCCTGGGGGGCGCCGGCCCTGGGAGATGGGATCTCCTGGGAGGAAGGCGGCCAAGGGGGGTGGAGTGCCCCCCAAGGCAAGTGGAGGCGCCCCCACCCTAGGGTTTCCAACCCTAGGCGTAGGGGGCCCAGGGGGGGGCGCACCATCCCACTATGGGCTGGTTCCCCTCCCCACTTCAGCCCATGGGGCCCTCCGGGATGGGTGGCCCCACCCGGTGGACCCCCAGGACCCATCCGGTGGTCCCGGTACAAATACCGGTGACCCTGAATCTTTCCCGATGGCCGAAACTGCACTTCCTATATATAATTCTTTACCTCCGGACCATTCCGGAACTCCTCGTGACGTCCGGGATCTCATCCGGGACTTCGAACAACTTTCGGATTACTGCATACTCATATCTCTACAACCCTAGCGTCACCGAACCTTAAGTGTGTAGACCCTACGGGTTCGGGAGACATGCAGACATGACCGA